TACTGCTACTGCTACTGCTACTACTACTACTACTACTACTACTGTTACTACTACTGCTGCTGCTACTGCTACTGCTACTGCTACTCCTACTACTACTACTACTACTACTACTACTACTACAACTACTAGTGCTACTTGTACCACTTCTGCTAGTTTGCTTTTACTTCTACTTCCTGTTCCTGTTTCCTCCTCTTCAACCGATCCTTTGTGGTAGCCCTAGACACGCGAGCCATCAACTCGGATGCGCCGATTTTCCAGCTTGAATTACAACTGCCAACCCTGCTACCCACCCACCCATCCAGTAATGCACCCACACCACTAGCATGACTCATGCACCCTGTATCCCAGCATACAACCTTGTCCACACCTTAAGCCCGCACACAACAGTTACTCGAGAGAAGCCAGAACCACGGCAGAGAACTCCACCTTCGGAGCCATGGCGGGCGAGGAGGTTTGTGGTGACATTGTGGCGGCCCGGTTGCGGAAAAGAAAGGGTTCAGCCTTGATGATCAGGCGTGAACGATGATTCCTAGTTTGCTTATGTTTGGCTACTTTGCGCTCCACCGTTTCGGGGCTAACGGAGATAGCCGGCTTTTCCATTTGTAGCGGCGGCATTTTGGACTTTTGCATTCGATCACCTTCGACATGCAATGGTCTGAAACTTGGACTCCACATTGAATGTATTGATCGAAGGTTTTGTGGAAGACCCGCTTTGAAAAACGTCAAGACGGATACACTGCGTTTGGACCGACCTTGCGACACTTGAAACTCGAAGTCACACCTTAGCTAACCTGCCAACTAGCACCGACGCTGGCAATGATGAGCCGGTCATGCTTCCCAAGTTCTTCTGAGGCATCGACCCCAAAACTTGAACAAGGTCCATAAGGATTTAATACGGATTGAGTATGCAAGTGACGGTTCGAATTTTCCTCGCTCTCCAGAGCTGAAGGGCGAGGCCCTAAGAATCCGATTACATACACTTATTAACTACCAAGAAGTTGCAAAAACCATTGAACACGGAAAACAGCACCGCTAGAGCACGTCTTTGCCGAGGTAGACTTCGCCGCGAACGGGCCGAACGGGCGCAGGGGAGATGAGTCAGCCAGGTAGCACAGCGAGGATTTGGGGCTCCCGGTTTGCGATGCCCGAGATTAAACTTTGGAGTTGAAGAAGAAGTAGGTGCCGACAAGCTGAGTGTCGCAGGCTCCACCGACGAGCCTCCAAGATCGAAGGTAGTCGGGGGTTCTCCTGCCACCTGCACCCAAGCAGCATGCTTGATCCCCAAAACGCATAAAATGCAGGAGCAATCAGATTCCCTGTAGATCGGGCAAAATCAAATTCTACATATGAAGATAGAAGAGAACGACCGACGGTGCTGGTAGCTTACTTGACATAATGGTCTTGCTGGAGTATGAGCTACGGGCCAGATTCGGCACAACCCATTGGCTGAAAGGAGAGTAGGGGACCTCAGCGAAATTGGTTGTTCTACATCAACATCTATATCTGAGCACTCGTATCTATATCCATATCTACGCTAATACTTCTGCTTGTATCCATATCTGTATCTACATATATTATATATATATATATAGATACACACACATACATACATAAATGATAAGAAAACTAGGAAGAACAATTAAAATGATACTATACTGTGATAATAGTAAGAATACTCAATAATCAGGAGACTAATTGTAATGATACTTGTAAGAATAATTTGGTACAAGTAGAAAACACCATTACATCTATAAATTAATGATTGTACTTATATATTTATAAGTATAACTATAAAAGATAGTGCTAGAATAGCAAGTAAGAACCATTATACTGAGTATGATAAGAGTACTCGTACTATTACCCGAATAAGTTCAAACCTTGCTCGTACAAGCACGCAGTCAACCACCACTTGTAGAGCCGCCCCACGTTCCCACGGTGTCACCACCATGCCAAGAGAGGCAGGGCACTATGGCAACCAATACACTGCAGCAACAAGTGGTATTGACGATGATCACCATCATCCCTATCGCAACCTCCACAACCCCGAACCTTACGCAGCTCTGCCCCTGTCAGCCACAACTCGGACGGCACCCGGGCAGCGATGACGTTTAGCCGCTGCCACAGCCCTCCACCGGGTACCGAGAGCTTCCCGGCCAAGTCAAAGGAGTCCATTTCAGGCTGTGGGGCATTCCGGGCAGTTGAGCATGTAAGTTATGTAAGTGCAAGAGTTTAGGCCCGGCTCGAGATTTTTTGAATTTCTCGACACTCCAGGCACTGGTATTCCCCTCCTGGTCTCGGATTCTTGCATACGGTTCTCGGAGTTTGGAAACTGCCTTCAAGAAAGCTGTAGTTTCGGTCCGTTGCGGGCTCTACCTTGCAAGAATCGGGATGTTCGTGGCCTTGCAGCTCGAGATTCGAGTAAGCGCTTCGTAGCACGAAGCCGTGCGGAGTATCGCTTGAACGTGGATCGCAGCTCAGAGTTCCACAAGCCCCAAGTCTTCACTTCGATCAATTCTCGCTCAACTTTAGGTTGAAGGCAGGGCACTTCCTAAGCGTCGCAGATGACTCGAAGATCAAGTCCTGACTTATTCGTCTCCAACCTGGAAGCTTCCGCAAACATCTGGAAGCTTTTAGTGTCAACTCGCCAACTCAGCCGCGGACTGCCAAGAAAGGTTTGGACTACGACCTTCACGAGCAGCTCGGCAAGTTTAGCTCGAGCCTGCCCCCGCTCGGCACCAGGCAGTTAAGTCCTACGTTACCGTTGAATCCGAGGGTAGAAATGGGTGAGAGTGGGAGCCCTTTGAGAACCTGGTACTTGCATCTCTTGCGTAGAGATGGGAGATAGTTGCCCTGGGCTTGGCCTCAGTGCCCAAAGCCCTACTTGCGGCTGCCAGTACTTCCTACCCTACTTCTGATGTACTTGCTAAGTCCTCTGGGCCCCTCCAAGTATGCTGAGGAGCCCCATGATTATGCAGTTTGTGAACAATCAGCAGATGGCGCTGAGTCAGGGGAACTGCTTTCTCCGAACTTTGGGTCAGAGTTCCTTGTCTTGCAATGGCTGGGAAGCGGCTTAGGCCTCGGAAGTCTCGGGATCCATGGCATCCGGATATGAGGCTTCTTTAAATGACTTCTGCACTCGGGATTGCAGCCGTTTTCGTGCTGAGGCTGAGATGCTTTAGGTCTTAGCAGCCTTGCACGCCTCTTTGCGCGATGCTTGTGTGCCCCTCGAGCTTGGCCTACAGACTGCAGGCAGAATCTATAGACTCTCCTCAGGCAACAGATGCAGTCAGAGAGACAAAGCGACGGACAGACGGACATTTGAGAAACACAGAGGCATACTAGAAAATTTACCAATACAGAAGTGTGTGTGCGTGTGTGCATGCAGATTCGTTCGTATCCATCTCGCCGTGTCAAGGTAGCCTCTGGAGGCCGTGTCCCGGTGCGGGGGATCTACCAGGGGTATAGCTCGGTCCCGGCAATGTAAGTCTGTTTATCGCAGAGGTTTCCCTGCCTGCTTGACAACCACCCAGTGCAGTGGCGTTGTCTCCGAGCCTTCATAAAAGGGGGAATGCGGGGCCGCTACAGGCATAAGCAAAGCCTGGAAGCACTAATTGAAGCCCCTCTAGATTGCAAGTCTCTAAGCCTACGCCTTCTTGCAGGCAGAACGGCCGGGGTATCATCCGCTGGCTCATCATCTGCCTAGCGGGGCTTAGCACAGGCCACCTGTGGTTTGGAGTGAGAGGATTCTCCACAATCGGTCATGGAGTGGAATCCTGCATGAAGCTCGTATTCGGTTTGAAATTGACTAGCAACGTACATGCTCGCATATATTTATGCTTAGATTACAATGTAGGCTCGTAGTTTACACCTACATTCAAAGGTGTTTATATCTACATCGTTATAAGTGTATTCTTGTATATACATCGTTTCATACTACTATATTACTTTATGCATATTCTACAAAAGCTATCTCTATCAACATCCCTGCGGGCCCTACGAGGCTTCGTTGCCTCGATGATCGACCTGGGCCTGGGTTATTTTCAGAAGCTGGAGTTCTTCCTTCTGACGCCAGTCAACGTTTTGGGGTTTCTGCGGAGGTTACGGTTCTGCTTGACACATCAGACAGGTCTCTTTCAGCTCAGCTATACACCTTCAAGCAAGGAAGTTGTATGAAGCAGGACCTACGGCTTAGGCAGACTTCCATACTCCGATTTGGCGAACTATTGGTGAGTTTCTCTTATGGGACTGCGTTTGAAAAGCAGCCAGATCAGGAAATCCAGCATCAAGGCCAGCGATCACTGGGCCTCGACGACCCTCGGCCAAGAATTGACGGAGTGTGAGCTGCACGTACATCACTGCGACGCCGATCCAAAGCTTGCCCCGGGTTCGGATCGAAGGTCCGGGATTCAATCGGCCGTTTCAGGAGTGATAGCCAGCTGCGAGCACTTGCGAGCACCGCCAGCGATCGTAGCACTCCGAGAGCTGAGAAGTTTGAAGAAGCCACAAAGAACCCATCCGCAAGCAACACTTCATCCGTTCTCTTAGGGACGTCGAGACCCGCTGCATGCTGCACTAAGGTATTTCGTCTTCTTGGCATTTCGCATGGTGTTGGCCAGCGTGGCAGGTGCGACAGTCTTTCTAGGCCTCGTTTTCAGAACTCGACATGAATAGTTTGGCTTGTTGATTTTGAGATTCCTTCAGGGAAGGAGCCTGCCTGTCTGCCCGAGCAAGACTGTAGGCTCGGCTCGCAGATAGATTGCCGCGACGGACGGGGCGCTGTGGTTGCACATGCTAGCGGCTAAGCGTGATTCAGATGCCGGTCACTGAGACAGAACCGTTGCAAGACGGTGTGGCTAGTCTCGATGCCAAAATCTACAGCAATCAATGTTGGAATCACCTTTAGCCGGGAGAACTTGATGTCTTGCCTGGATACATCTTCGGACATCAGCGAAGTTGCCCGCGATCTGGACCGGCCCGAGCCGAGCAAGCAGGGACAGAGCTCGGAGAGCCCAAAGCAGTCAGCAGGGTCGAAACAGACAGGCTGGCGCAAATGGCATGGAAATTGGTGGTACGGGGCCACTGGAAGCAGTGGGTCTCGAGGTATAACGGGCTCAGCGTTCCAATCTTGGCCTGTCTGCTGCAACACGTGTCTCTGCCCTTGGAACTGGGCGTCTTGTGCCGCACCGCCCACGTTCTGACACAAGCATGCAGCTCTCTGTGGCTTGCAGATGCTAATAGTATGGGCAGACATTGGAGAGCAAACCCGGGATCACGGTCATCACTTTTCCGTCATGGACCATGGACGATGACGGTCTAGCGGTGGGCTGTTTTGGGGTTGATCCTTTGAGCCTTTTGTGCCATACGGTTCCCGCCTGCGCTGCCCGAAGCCTCCGAGGGCCGCGAGTGTTCGGGGTATAGGGGTTGGGCAGCGGTAGGAACGTTGTAGTGTTTAGGGTTTGGTTTCGGGTTTTAGTGATTGAGGCGTTTGGTGTCGGAATGTGCGTGGATAAAATAGTGCAGTGCTATTCTTCGGGGGTCCTTGTTAAGACTATGGCATAATCTACTCCCCCAAACCGGAGTCCGATTAGCAAAGCCCGGATATTGTCCTAGATGTAGCAAGAACAACCTGCCAGGCACAGCTTGTATGCTGAAACCGGAAGCACCAAGAGGTTACCTAAATGCCTTACCTCATGAATCTACCTTACCGACACGCAATATGTGTTACCCCACCCGACATCGAACAAAAATGTGTTCCTTCGGAATTATTTGATATTCACATGCGCATGTCTTCGGGTAATACCAGCGCCTTTGCACGAGGCGTCGTTTGACGAAGTGAATGCACTCGGATTTGTACTGAAGCTTCCTGAAAAGAACTTGCAACACGGCTGACTCGCCACGTCACATCCCCCAAGCCTTTACTCTTGCATTGCAGACTCGACCGGCGACGTTAGCCACCCCTAGCCGTAGCCCCCTGCCTCTGAGCCTTCAAGAGGCTTCTGCGTCTGTTTCGTGGAGCCTTTGGCTGCTGGATCTGGAATCCCCGAGATCAAGTCTTTCCTGAACGGCGGCTTGGCCAAAACCCAGTGACCTGCGGTCCACCGGGGCAAATCTTCGGGAAGGGCTCAAAGAGGGTTTTGTTTTTTTTGGTTTTGTCCCCTTGGTCTGCAATCGGCCTGTTTAGCATCAAGTCATCGTGGTCGGATCATTAGTTCTACTCGTACATGTACGGCTGGAAAGCTCGCGGTCGCGGGCTCAGGGTTCGAGGCTTTCTGGCCAACATGTTCGAAGCCTTGGCTTCATGTCCGCAGCATTTGGATGCACAAGCTACATGCTTGAGTCTGTCTATTGGCTTCTACTGCAGCATCATGGACAGATCGGAAAGCTGAAGCTCAAACTTGAAGCCACCTGAGCTCTAACCCCGAGCACCCCAAACGCGCCAAAACAGTTCCCTGGCCTCAACCTGCCGCAGAAGGTCCCTGAACCGGAGGGCTTAAGTCTTCAGGGTTTCGCGGTTGTACTCGCAGGGTGGTCCTAGTCACTAGTCTTGTCCGAGCACCGATCTAGAACCTGGTGTCAGTGCTTCGCCCTCAGCCGCCATGCAGCTGCGCCAGTTGCTTTTGGCCTTAGCAGCCCTGTCACTGGTGCAACATTGCTTTCTTGGGCCTCGTCAGAACAAGGCTGGCGGCTTGAACGCAACGCTTCGAAACTTAATCACCTTCACCGAGGATCTCTAAGCACTGACCAGGCACCTTGCAAAGGAGCAGGTTCTACAAGCTGAGGTATTGTCTCGTGCAATAAGGCTTGTTCGGCTGGTCCGAACCTTGCTGCTAGCGACTGGTTTGAACACGTTTTCGCTGTGAGGATTGAAATCCTCCTTCCTGGGCTATTTAAGTTCTGTCCCGACAAGAACATTGACATCTGTTACCTTGGAGCAGCCACAGTCTGATAAGCCGCGAGCCGGAATCCTAGGCCTAGGCCAGCGCAGGCGACTTCTCTTCAATTTCCAACAAGAAACTCGGGACCGGACAAACCCCCAAACCTTAAACCCCAAGCCCGCAAGCCCAAAGTTCTCTTTTATCTACAAAAGCAAGTTCTTAGTAATGGGTCCGTATAATAAATGTTCCGAAGTCCGATAAGAACCCAAGACCGTAAGCCCGAAAAAGCAAAGCCCAAAGCCTCACAGACCCTCAAGTTTTTCACAAGTCCCTGCAAGGCCCCCCTTTGCATGGAAAAGACCGAAGCCCCTAAACCCTCAAATTCCAAACCACCATGCCCTTGAAACAACCCGGAGAGGAATCCGTATACAGGAACCGAAACCCGGGTTCTGTTCTCTTCGAGACGAAGGCGCCTCGATCGCCCCGGCTCCTACTGCGGCGGGCGGCGCCGCCCGTCGAGCTGGCTTCGGAGTTTCTGGCAGGATGGGAGAGGACCGCGCTAGTGTTCAGGGTTCAGGGGATTAGGGCTTATTAATATTAGGGGTTTAGGAGTTTAGGGCTTTAGGGTTCTAGGGCTTTAGGGGTTTAGGGGTTACGGATTAGGGCTTGTTTTGTGAAAGCAGAGGTACATGTCGCCACATGAAATATAATCCGACAATCCCAGTCCTGAAACCGTTATATTCTAAACTTTAACCGCCGAACCCCCCAACAAAACTCCTAAGCCCTAAACTCCTGAAGCTTTACACTCCCAAAGTCATACAAACCCTCCAAAACCCCATACCATACTCCCCTACAGACGAGCCCTGTATAGAAAAGCCCTGTATACCTTGGGAAAAGTCATTACAAAAAGCTTTTGTACTCGTAAGACACCCAGCCTCCAAAAACGAAAGCTGCGAGGCAGGAGATGGCCCAGAAGAAGGCGGGCGGGGCCCCGGCAGGGCTGACGCCTCCAAAAGAGATCAGTGAGGCCGAGGAGCTGAGGCTGGGAGTTTGGGGGTTATGGAGTTTTGGGTTTTGGGTTTTGGGTGTGTTGTGTTTCTTCTTTCTTTCTTTGTGGCGGCGGAAGGGTGAGGGTATGGGGATGCGTATGGTTTAGGGTTTAGGGGGTTGTTAAATATTAACTGTCGTGGGTTTTCGGGATTCAGGATTTCGGTGCTTTCAATCAGGGTATCAAAGGGCTGCATAGGGATTTCGGGTTGATAGTGTTATGTTTATAGGGTCAGGCATTTGACGTGAGTTTGGGGTTTCAAGAGCTTACAGTGAGGGCTCCCCGTGTGGTTTTGGTACGGATAGACACGCGGCTTCACAAGGAAGGGTGTCCAAAGGGCGGCAGAGCTTTGCCGGGTGTTGTATTACATGCATTCAGGGTTTCAGGATGTTTCAGGTCAGGCCTCCGGTCATGGAGCACAAGGTGACTCGGTTCGGAGCTTCGAAGTTCAGTCGGCAGCCCGTGTTACGCAGACGCAGAGAGTTCTAATCGTTCAAGAAGGAGAATACTGCGATTACGGCTACAGCAGCTACACAATTACCACGATTACTGGTGCTGTAACGAGAGCTTATGCCAACTCAGTGTCGCCCATTCCCTGGGATTTTGCTCGACTGTCGGGCTGACAAAGTTTTCCGAAGGTCTGCGATACAGACGCTGGCGAAGTCCAAGAGCATGCAGAGCTTGAGGCTGGGCATCATGGCCCCCTCAGGGGAGGCCGGGGGCCCAGAGCGAGTCAGGGAAGCGCTTCTAAAATGTGGTGGTTCAAGGCATCGAAACCGACCCTTGCTTGTCCTCCACATTTGTCGTACCTGACGGACTGTGCCTAAGCAGTCTTGCGCGCACACTTCGAAGTCAGCTGCAAGCTGCAGGCCCACCACGGCTCCTAACTGCCTTCAACCCCCAAGTAGTCCGGCACGCAACCTGTGTCCACGACACATCAGCCCGACTCAGCCCGACAGACCACTCGGAAGTGAAAGCCGAGCAGCGTCCTTGACCGAGGCTGCGCTTACCGCCATGCAGAACTGGGTGGAAGGCGAGAGCATGTCGTGTTTGCTCTTGTATATTCAGACGTGCGAGTGCCGGGAACATTGACATTGATTCAAGCTTATCAGTTCGGCATAGCGAATGTTGCTTCTTAGCATGACCGACACCACAAACTCCGCAGCAGTCTGTAACTTATGGATGGCGTGCCGGGGAGCTTGCAGCCCGTGACATGCGAAAGGCAACAGAATCTGCCCGTGATCCTTCTGTGCACGCACGCACGCAACACCCGACGCCCTGCAAAGCTCAGCTGTGAAACCCATGTAAAACGCGAGAGCACCTGCAGACGGAATGAAATCCGTATATAGATGGAGCCTTGTAGTAAGACCCCCATTGAATTGTCCCGAAACCCCTTTTTACCCTAAACCCTATAGAGGCCCTAAAAGGGTCCCTTGCTTGTCCCTTGCTTCCTTCTTGTTTGAAGGCCTGGAGCTCGATAGCCCGGCCGATGGAGTGATGGCGGTGGACGACGAGAACTCGCCGCCTGTCCTCGCTTTGCCCGGTCTAAGGGGCTTTACTGGGTTTAGGGCCTTTTGGGGTTTAGCGAGGCCTAGCTTGTTGAGAGGGTTTTTAGGGCTTCTTGGCTGATCTTGGTGTTTTGTTTGGGTTTTCTCATCCGTGACGAGTTCGCGAGAGGTTTGCACTAGTGTTTGAAACTCCACTATGAACAAAGCCCCGGCTCTTGAGGCGGGGATTGGAGGATGTTCGCGTGGTTTCTTGGGCTGCTGCCGCTGTTGGACTTTTGGATGTACCGGCACAGCCCCTCCGCCTCTTAGGTCTGTTTATACTAAAGATCCTGCAAGGGAGGTTGTCCATGATTACTATTACTACTACCATTACTATTACGATTACTATTACTATTCTGATTACTTGACTATTACTATTACTATGACTGTTATGTAGGGTCCCACTTTTCAGAGACATGCGGAGGCCCTTGGATATGTCGGAGATCGCCTCGGGGCCTGTGTACCTCAAATACCAGCTCCCTGGATTTGCTGGTTTTGCTTGGGATCGGTCCATGTCCACCTTAGGGCCTAGGGTGTAGGGTTTCTTCGGGCTTGGGGTCCCTGCAAAAGCAGAACGGCACAGCACGCATTGTGGTCCGGGGATGGATCCAGCTTGCTTGCGTAAACAGGAGCGTTCAAGCTCGTTCTTCCTGCCAGCCGCACTTGCCCACAAACCCAGGTATAGCTTCGGAGATCCCGCAAATCGAGCGGACAACGGTAACCCCTCCAAAGAGAGCGCAATTCCGAAGGCTGGTTGCTTCTCAGGTTTCAAGACTTCTGGCTTCTGACTTGAGGCGTCTTGTGGGCTCGGGCAACATCAAGCAAAGCATCATACCTGCTGCTCACGAGCTCCAGCTCTGAACCAGAAACCCGTGCGGTGTTGAGCCTCACAGTGGACACTTCCTGGAAGGCCTCTCGCTTCGGTTCTGCCGGCAACAGTCCCTACAGGGCTGAAGCCCCGGTTGGTTTTGTTGGTAGCCCCGCTCGGCCCCCTTGCTCCAACAGGTGGGCGCCTACATGAAGAGCTACCCATTTCCCGGGCGAGGCTGGATCGGATGGCGGGCATGTCGGGACCACAGAGTGTCCGGAGTCGCCAAAGCTCAAAAAACAGTAGACCAACCTACCTACCATGTCTCTGGTCAGTGCGGCTTGAAAATTGGATTGACTTCAGGGTCTCATGCTTGTCGTCGTCAGTTTGGTCTGAAGCGACACAGCTGAGAAGTCTCGAAGGTCGAACGAAGGTCGTGTCTTCTTTTTTGCCCCAAACCAGATGCTGTGGAAGAGGAACTGCACAGGGAGTTCACGCCTAACAGGCGTCCTGTTCAACCCCGAGCTCGGTGACGGGGAGATGCGACACCCGGCATCACTATGCCGGGCTTCTCAACAGAAAGGAGTGGGGCCCTTGTAGTACTCATCCTCATTGCCACTTAAGATTTGTACATCAGAGCCCCTCATCTTTGAACTCGGACTTGGCTGGCTTAACATAACATGACTGTTTCCGAAGGCATCGGCCTATCGAAGCCTTTCGAGAGTGGATCCTCGTGTTGAAAAGAACTAGGCCATCTGTGAGCTGATTAGATTTTTTTAGGGGTCCCAAATTTGGGATGACTTTCCTTCGGAGTCTACAGTAGCGCTTACACGGGCAAGGGTGCCTTAATTCTTACACTCCCATCTTGTGAACCATGGCTGTTCGCAATAAACGAATTGCTACCCAGTTGCAGCAAGCCAAGGGATGTACGGCGACTTCCCCTTGGCCTTGTTCGGCTGGCCTACGGATGCCCTTTGAGGGCCTCTGGCTGGAAGTGGCCTTAAGGCACTCGGATGAAGCGAAAGTAGTTAGATCGGTTCCATGGCGGCTCAATGAGGCCAGACACGACCCTGTCTTCGCGAGAAGAAAAGGCTGAGAGCACGGTTGCTGAATTAGGAGCTTTGCTGAGTGACAGGACTTGGGATTCTAGCGATCTCTTGAGGGGCGTTGCTCCAGGGCTTGGGTCGGAGAACTGCCAAATCCTGTGCCGGATGCCTCGTCGTGCACACGGAATCCCAAACAGCACAAGCTTGCATTTCTGAGGTATTCACATGCCCCGGATGCTGGATGTCAAGACCCTGGTGGCTAAAGCGGCTCGGGCCTAAGCGCCGGTGAAGGACAGGCCTGGGCCCGAACTCAGAGCAAAGTCCGGAAGCACCTGTGCAAAGCACTCAACCCCGAGAAAAGACTGCTTTGCAAAAGCGCGGTCAGTCCCCAACCTGACGATTCAGCAGAACCTGAAGTAGCAGGCCACTGACAGGTAGTTCTTGATACAGCCGCCACTTTTTCACTAACAGAACAAGGAATGCAGGAGGTTTCCCAGATTTCTATACTTTCTGCAGTATCTATACGACATAAAACAACTAGGCCTCCAGAGGGAGACCTCCTTGCGGCAGACTCTGAGGTCGGCGTGATGTTCAGCGTGGGGGCCGGCCTGCCTTGCGGCAAGGTGGGGGGAGTTTCGCAAGAGGGTGTTGCAAGACATGTAGGGAGCTTTGGAACACAACCAGGATCTCGCTTATAATTAAGGATGCCTAAATCACATGAGTCCCCAGCTTCAAGAAGCCCTATCTGGTGCACTGCTCGGAACTCCGTGAGAAAGGCATTTACCGGACCGTTACATTCAGTGACGAAGCCCTGCAGTGTGTCTTCCGAGCATAGATGGTCACTTTTAGGAGGTTGGGTTCCGGCTTGGTGTACGTCTCCGGCTGAAGCCTCCCGAGCTCAAGCGGACATAAGCTGCTATCGCTTGCAAAGTCACGACGTTGAAGGAAGGACCGATGATCCACAGTGGCGCCATTTGCGGGTCGCTGTTCCCCGGCACAAGAGCTATGTTACAAGATCGTGGCCTGAAAGGTTTGGGGTGGATTGGAAGTGTCGCCGTAGGACAGTTCTTCTTGGGCGGATTTGCAAGGCTTCTCAGGCCGATGCTACATAGGAGAGGTTTCTGGCGAAAGGTCGTGGAGCAACAATAGAATGCCACGCATGCGACAAGATCGCAAGACCCAAATCGTCAGGACATAAGCAACCTACCTGTCGATGAAATGCCCACAGTGCGAAATGACACCTTGCACACAACCAAGCCCAAACCGCCAAGTGCCACTTTATCTGCTGCTAGACGTGTCCCGAGGTTTGTTTCCTGTAAAGCCCTTTTCCCCCCTAGGCCCTAGGCAGCCGAAGACGGAAAAGCTCCCTTGCCCCTCGACGGTCTGGTAGCCGACGTTCAGGACCTCTCGGGTCTTTTGGACCAACCGCCTGCGGCCGATAAACATGGACAAGGACAGAAGCTTCCGAGAGCTTGCTTTGCTCGTTTTGGTCTCTTGTCTTTTCAGAATTGGGGTTCATCTCACTTTGGGATAGGCGAGCGCATCCTGTCCGAAAAGGGGCTGTTCGCAAAAATAATTGTCTGATGCAAGCAGAAAACTAGATTCAGACAGTTACCGCGATAGCTACACTCTCTATCTTGATGACCAACTGCACTATAAGCGGGTTGCAACTTTTGTTTCAGTTTACCTCAGGATGTCATGGTGAGCAAAATCAAGAAAGCTGATCAGTTCCGAAATGTGCTGGGCTTTACTCGGGAAAGTCTGGCTGGATGCTCCGCAATGAGTCAATGAGAGTACTGTGCTGGATTTGGCTGGGCAGTGAACTTAGGGCTCTTCCCTGTTATTCGGTGAGTTTAGAATCAAGGGATCCCAAATTGGTCCAAGCTTCCACCTGCTTTCCCAGGAGCAGCGGGATCTTGTGACTGCTGGTGCGGCAGCGGGCGTCTCCGCCGCCTTCAGCGCTCCAGTGGGTGGCGCCGCTGGGCAATGCCATTGCGGCAGGGCAGTACCTCAAGCCCCGAACCAAACACCCCACAAAATCAGTGAACATCGTCGGCAATTGGAGCTACAGGTAGGGCTCCAGCTTTTACCAATGTGTAGTATGATGGCTCATGTCCTTCATCCTTCTTTCTGGTCCCACGTCTAGACACCTTCCCGGCGTGGCCAACAGCAACAAGCCAAGCATCGGTGCTTGCGCATGCCTGGATTTCCAGACCCCGAGCTTTGCAACAGGGCAGGCGCCCGAGGCGAGCTGTTGTGCCCTGTGGCAATGAGGTCCTTTTTGCCATCGAGGAGGGTGCCACGCATATGAGCGCAGCCTGGCGCAAGGAGCCCCTGCATCCTGCACCCCCCAACCAGGCCTCGCAGAGTTGAGTCAGACCCAAAGTTGATCTCTCCGGTTATATTAAACTATATTGTATCATGTGTATGCATGTGTGTGTGTGTGTGCATATATATATATATATGTGTTACTATTATTATCATGATTACTATTATTACTAGTATTATTGTTATAATTATATACAAACAAAATGAGAGGGCGTGTTGGTTGTCTTTGTTGGGGGGGCTCCGTGGCTTGGGCCCAGACAAAAATCGAAGAAGTCATTGCCTGGGAGCTCCGCAGGCAACCGAGGCAGCGAGAGCCCCCCCCCTCTCTTCGAGACTGAAATCCTGGAAACCTAGCAATAATCATAGTAATAATAGTAGTAATAGTTGTAATAATGGTAGTAATAGTGGTAATCATAGTAATAATAGTATGAGGTGGACATCATGCTCAAAACCTTCGTTGCTGCTGCCTGTGCCGCCCTGGTGGTGCGATTCTTCCACTCCGGCTTCGACACGTGCTCAGGCTTTCAAAGATCTGCCCCGCTCGCATCTCGCGGAGCCTTGTAGACACGAATAAGTGGTTCAAGGCTGTCAGTCACGATTTCACTTAGAATGTATATAACCCTCAAAATCCAATGATTGAGACCTTTAAGGCCTAAAGTTCCTAAAGGCCCTAAATCCTGATTCATAGCTCCACGGAGAGCCCTCTCCAGACCCAGGGGTCTTTGGGGAATGCTGGGCTCGGCGGTGCCCCTGGAGTTCGGCGCGCTGCCGGATCTCCGCTATTCCATTTGGGAGCCTTGGCAGTTGCCATAGTTTTTCGGGTCTTGGGGTTCGAGGGTTTGGGGTTTGGGGTAGGATTTTTTTGTGCTTATAGTACTTGTCTAAAACCCGCACATGCCACTTCAGGTGGACGTTTGTTTTGAGGGATTCTGATTGCAGACGGTTTCTTCGAGGCATACAGGATCTAGGCGTAGTGTTTGGGTTTGAGGTAAAGCATGTTGCGTGTGAATTGCGACTGGGGAGTTACTCTTCATTTCATAGACACACTAAACCTATAAGCCTAAAGATTCAATCAATCCATCAATCAGCCGTCAACGCAAGAACTCTAAGTCAAAAGAATGTAAACTCCGCCGCAGCATTGCCTGCTGAGGAGCTTCCCTTGTTTGCCTTAGTCGGAATCCTCGGCGGTTTGATGGGCGCCTTGCGACTTGCCAAGATTTGGTGGAATGCGAGTTTGGGATTTCGGGCTCAGGGTGTTGTGTTATCTGAGGGCTAACTATGGTTGAGGGTTTACGGGGCTTTTTGACGGAGCGTGAGCAGCGCTGCATCAAGAAGGGGTCATGCAGCTGTGGTAACACCGCTTGGCTCAAGCACATTGGTTGCATTACCCTCCTATCTCTCACTCTTCGCACCTTTTGCCTTGGCAGGTACAACTGGCTCAACGTGAAGCTCACGAGAGTCAGGCATCCGCTAGCACTAGCACTTCCTGTGATGAATCGTAAGTCCATGCAAATCCTGGCTCCCACAAGAATCCCAAAACTACGCAGAGAGCAGTATGGTAACCCATCATACCTGGCTTTCCCGAATTTTATAAAACTCTAAGCGCTAAACTCCTAAAGCTCTCAGACATAAACTCCTTCATAAACGAACTCGCTGAGCCGTAAAGGCGGTAAGCCCCCTAAACCTTGTACCTGCCCTACACTCCCTAAACCCTCAGCCCTAAGCTTGAAACTCCCCAAACCGACAACTCCGTAAAACCTATAAGCCCTAAACTCCCTAAACCCTAAACCCGAAAGTCAGTAAACTCCAAACTCCCTAAGCCCTAAACTCCGGGTTCCTTCAGCCCTAAACCCGAAACTCTCCAAGCCGTATGCCCTAAAACTCCTTCCAAAACAGATTCTCTGCAGCTTAAACCCTAAGCCCTACACTCCCTAACCTCGAAATCCCGCACACCCTTATGCCTCATTGAACCCTATAGACCCTAAACTCTGTACACCGTCCACTCCCTACCCCCAAACCCCAAGCCCGAATCTCACCACCCGAAACCCTCAGCCCGAAGCCTTAAATTTAAACCCCTAAGCTCCCCAAGCCTTAAACTCCGTAAGCCCGAGATTCCGCAAACCCTAAACTCCCGAAACCCGAAGCCCCAAACGAGTCTGGTAGCATGGTAGCTGGGCTTCTATGGAAAGCAAGGCCTTGCCAGTCTCCAGCTTTTTTGGGAACCTTCCGGGCGCTTCCGAGGTGACATTTGGTGGAGAGGGCCAGGGCAGGGAAGCTTAAGTTCAGGGAGTCTATTCCGATTGCAGCTCGACAAACTGCGTTGTCAGAGCGTGCCCAAGTCCTGCCTTGAGGATGAGGTTCATTGGCCCCACTGGCTGGCGGCGGTGGTTCGAAGTCCTTGTCCTCACCTTTGCCGCCACCTCAGACTTCCCGCAGATGGTGACACCCCGACTCCAAGAGACCTTCTCTAGCTATTCAGCCATAAGTTGACGAGCCGTCTGAAACGGTGCGTGTCTAGCCTGGACATTCGCTCCAGACAGATAGCTCTGCAACAGAAGCCGACGAAGCCCAGCAGCGGCCAACAACAAAAGCGACCTGGGGTGAAGAAAACCCGAAGTCTGAATCAAAGGTTACAAGGCGCCTTGAAGCCTAAAGCTTTCCGCATCTCCAAAGTATAGTGCAGTCGGCGAAGCTTTTGAGCGCTCAGGTCACTTCCATCCAAGCCGTACAAGCGCAGACCTGAAGCCCTCAGACCTTCCACATCCGATATCGACTCGGCGAAGCGTCGAGGTCGTCTCCACCATCAAGTTCCTTGTGCCTGTGGTTCTGATGGATGGCGTGGGCAATGTCTTCGGCTCTGTGAAGCAGACGCTGTGGTGCGGCACCCAGCCATGTCTAAAGGGCGGATCGAGAATGGAGTGGGCTTGAACTTGACACGAGGAGAAGTCTTGACCTTGGTTTGTTGGTTGATCCCATCGAGGCCCAAATTTCCCTCAACCTGATGCACTTGCATTGAAGCGCAGGTGGTCTGAACAAGCAGAAGGCGTCAAGGCCATCTTCCACCAGGACCCTGGCACACAACTGTGACTGTACCTCTAAACCCTCTCGCATCCTAAGCGTTTGGAATGTCTGCCTCGGTTTTCAACCGTAGACTCACAAGGCCGTGAAGGATGCTTCCAGCTCCGAAAGCTGTCTTGCGAGTCTGCCAGGAAATGACGGTATCGGATATGGCCATTCTAGGCCATCCTGGCTATCTTTGGCAGCATGTTCAGGGGCATGTTTCAGAGTCGCGAGGATTTGCTGGGGCTGGGCACTGCAAAGGTCTTGCTGCTTCGTGGAGCACCAAGTTGGACAGCATGTGCTCAACGTTGGAATCGCCGTTGGGGAGTAGCTGTACAACATCGGAAACAATGAGCCACTGTAGCTAGAAGCCCGAGCAATGCATTGTACCAGTCTCGTCTGGTGTGCTCACCCCAGCTGCAAGCTGAAATGCATCAAGGGCTACCCCCGGAACGTGCTGTAGTTGGCCCAGTTTGGTCCTCGTACTGTCCTTATAACAGATGCCAGGCACGGTGCAATTTTTCATTGCCTGCTGGACGCAACTTGTCACCATAAATCAGTCTTCGTGGCTTCGGGTCGCTGGGTTGTGGGCTGGACAGGCTTCTCCTGACCTGAGCCCAAAGAGCCAAGGTACGGCGCCGGCGTTCCGAGCGGGCTCTTCCTACCCTCGCTCCTTGGCCTCGGGCAGTTGCTTAGCCTTAGGACCCCCCGAGGCAGGTTTTTCGGCCTCTCAATGTTCCTGGCTGATGCACGGTCGACAGGTGCGGTATGGGATCAGTTGTTGGTCACCTCGGGCATGGCCTTTTGCAGGTTAGTCAGTTCGTGCTTATGGACCTTGCAAATCCTGCTTGCTGTCCACGATTTAAATTGCTCTTCTGCTTATCGTGATTGCTACGACCACCGTGATTGGCAGGATTGTTGACTCTTCTTCGATGTCTCTCTGAGTTTCGGGATTCGGAACATACCCGTGCCCGGACCGCAGAGTCCAAAGCCCAAACTCCAAGGCTCTACCTGGGCGCTGCTTGGGGAAAGCTTCTGGGAATGGGCTTTTACTATGCTGGAATGCTGCACCACATCGCAGCCCGGCCCTGGAAGTGTCAGTGTTTGGGCAGTCAGTGGCGCTTTTGGAGGAGGACGTAAGTGATGGAGAGCAAGGCCAGTCTACTCACGAGCTGCCGTTTTTCAAGACCCCTACTTAACAACACAGACATCTTCGCGCATCGGGATGTCCTCTTGAATCTGCATGGCAAGACAAAGCCAAGAATGATATCTGCAGCATGTGTGTTATTATGGCCTTGCCCGGGTGAGGGTGCTGCTGCATCCCATTGCTTCGCGGCGTAGCTTAAGCTTTGGAGTGTAGAGGCCTGCGCAAATCGAGAACACAGGGGCAGCGAAGTTATCCACAGAGGAAAATCAGAGAGGAATTGAGAGAACTTGTTGTCTTGACTTCAGAGCGATGCGGACAAGTACGCCTTCGTTGGCTCTGCTGCTGCGTTATCTGGACTCGGGCGGATTACGATCTCGCTCTCCGTGACTTGAAGCAGACAGGCGAAGGATAGTTGCGAAGCGAGCTTTCGGGCTAACCAACCTTATTACTGGTAGGGTTCGTCGCGGTGTTTTCTCCACTGGTGAGGGGGATACTCCGCTTCTTCAGGAGTCCTTCGACAGCGGGAGCCCGGAACGTGTTGACATTCGTCCTAAAGCACATCGCGAAGCCGGGTTCTGTTCTGCAAGCCAAGCCGATAAGCCTGGCAAAACTAGCATCCGCAGGTATCCGCAGGCCCCGCTTGCAGTAGGTACTGGCATCATGGTCCGCATCACGTTCAGAAGCATGACTGACCAGAGAAGGCTGCAAGGCAACACAGGCTTGAGAAGTTCATGTAGACATTCAAAGTGGCATGCCTTCCTCGCGGCAACGGGCCTAGTTTTTCGACTCCAAATCGAAATATGTCGAAGCGCTCCCGAACTTGCAGAACTGCAGAACTTACCGTCGGTTACTGAAGGATGGGTTGACATGTTGAGGTTCTCTTAGTGCTCTGGCTTACCAAAGCATCCTGACCCCTTGGCTTTTCCTGTCATGCCGCCGTCTGAGGTTATTGTGATGGAGTGCACCATCAACAACCAGTTCGGCGTGCCGCTCTTCCTCGCCACAATGCTGGCCAAGTGGGTGGGTCGACGCCAGGATGGAGACTTAAAGGCTTCAAGCCTGATATACCGAAACGTCTCGAGCCGGGGGCTTCCCAAAGATCGAGGTCTTCGATGCTTTGGGAATGTTGGTAAGTTCAAATTTGGAAGCTGCAACATCCCCCAAGGCTGTAAACGGCAGTAACATGGTGCGCTTCACCCGTGATGTCCGGGGTAGGGCTCGCCTCCGGAATCTTTGGTGCATAAGTCCCGGTGTATCTGCAAAGTGAAACAGACACGTGGGGAATTCCCACTGTATGTTCGTGCCCAGCCGATTTCTCAAAGTATACTAACCTACCCGGCTTTCAGGGTATCATTTCACGGTATCATTTATGCAGTAGCATCGTGTGATGCAGCCGCATTTTCAATCATTTCCCAAATTGCTGAATGGGGCTTGGGGCTCCCAGACAAGGTCTCTGACATTCAGAACCACGTTTGGGCTCACTAGGTGCTGAGTGCCTCCACCTGGCAATTTCCTATGATCTGGTGGTCGGTTGTGAAGCTTGCAGACCTCCCGCGCGTATTGAAGTCCAGACGATCCTGAACACTCCGAGCTGTCGTTTGACAGTGCCACTACTGGTGTAGCAACCAAGGATCCGATCCACAGGGTCACGCAGGTCAAGCCACAAAACCCCACACCGTGAAACTCCAAACCCAAACAATACAGCCAAGCACGATAGACAATGGAGCGAACTGGATCGTTGCCCTACCTGGTCCTCGGCCGCCCAGAACTCTTCAACGAGGGGATTTACGACCTGCACCTGGAGTTGAAGCATCTTTGCCCGGTCAAGTCGGCTACTGGTAGGTCAGGGGAGGTGCTTAACGAGTACCGTTGAGTTCTTGAGGTTATAAGGCGTAGGTGTTAGTATGAAGCTCTCTTCCACGCATCCGGATTTCTGGCAAGTGACTCAGGCATGTGCCCCTTTTGGAGCCAATGGGTGGCAAGGCCCACATTTCTGCTCTGTCAAGCTTCTGAAGCCATGCTTGTTATTGAAACTCACAACAGCCAAGCTGCCTGGCTTTAACCCGATAATTGACACAAGTCTCAAAGAACTGCGCGGTGCATCCTGCTTGAAGGGATAGTAAGCCGGATACTAGACAGGCAACTAAGAGTTACTATCAGGTCACTAGCGTCCTCAAGTATCATGCGTTCATGGTTGAGGAGTGAAGCCACCTTCCAGTTCCCTCCTGTGAGCTGCCGTGAATCTGCCCACAGCTAAGTTTAACTGACTGCGGCAGGTTTAAAGGACTTAAAGAGACGGGACTAGGGTTCACGCCATTGTCCAACTGAAGCGAAGCGTGATTACGTTACCAACTGTATTAAAGCTCTAGGACTTGGTATCGTAATTTATATGAACGTCCTAACATTTCCTAACTCTTAACATGAATCTCCTTAAAAGCTGCGACCAGGAGCTTCTCGACCTGCGTGCCATGGACATCATGGCCCGGGTGACCCGATTGCAAGAAGAAGTGCCACGTAACGACGTGTCTAGTCTCGCATTGGGGCTTTGTTAATAGCCTCGGGGAAGATCTTGGGAGAGTTCAGCTCTACATGTATCACAAGAAGCCCCACCGATGATACGCCCCTGCGTTCATGCATTACCTTTCTGCCATAGGGCGGAGAAAGCCGCAAGGAAGTCAAGACTCTGCCAGCCTGCGCTCCCGTCAAGCAGCTGGTGGGATTGCTACAGGACGACGATTTGACAGTTGGCTCCGGAAATGCTCCGAAACCTGAGCAAAAAGCCATCGGTTTCTTCTCGCCAGGACGAGAGTCACAACCATCACGGGTTTCCCATCATCGACATGCCGGGGACCTTGTCGATCTGTGTGCACGTTTTGAAGGCATGGGAGCTCTTGTTATGGTTGATTTGGGCTTGTCTTGGATTCCTTTTTTGTTATTCGCACTGAGTGGCTCAGGCGGGATACTTAGCCTATCGATGTTTGGCCATCACGGCTTCTCCCTTAAATCCGATTAGGCCTTGTCCCATAGCAGAAGCCCATTGCTCATTACAGTTTTGATCTCGGGCGTCAGCCCAAATCACCCTCGTAAGCTTACAGCCCCGAAAGTCCTGTTATCAACGCCTTCTTTGCTCTCACAGCTGCTAGGATAGCCTGAGCGACTCGAACATACTCGCAATACAACCCTCATGAATTCTGCTGACCCACAGTCAGGACCCCTCTAGGAGGCTTAGAGACGCATCGAGGCCCTCGGGTGTCTTCTTGGGCCTCATCCGACGCAGCGAGCTCCTGCACGTCCTGGAGAGAGGCCTAGCGGGTGCAGGGCTTAGGGTTTAGGCTTAGGGGTCTTGTCTCAGGCGTGTTCGAAGGCATGCTGTGCTGGCTTTATAGGCTTTGAATACATAGGAGTGGGGCCGGACCGGTTCTCGTGAAAGCACGTAAGTCAGCTTGCGAAAATATCTCGAGGGTTCTCGGGGCGCTGTGTTTGACATGGGTCTTCGAGGTCCTGGGGAAGATGATGCCTAGACAATCCATCTGCAAGCCGACAGCCTCAGACCTCTGCAGGCAAGAAGTTTAACTTTTACGCCAATCGCCAGGGCCAGGCCCTCAGAAATCGGCTTGAATGGGATGTGTTCAGCTACCCCAAAATGCAGGCAAGTCCCCTTTGTTCAGTGTTTCGGTGATTGAACAGTGCACCGGCCTGTCGGAGATGTTTGTTGAGGATCTTGTCTCGTGCCAGAGGGTTAAAGTTGTGGATTTCTGTATTAGAACCCGTGTTGAAGCCACATGCACTCAGGGAAGTGTTTGAACAGTACACTAAGAAATCAGACAATCTAGTATTTTGCTGGAAACTCAGCCACGAATGCTCGTGGCTATTGCTGTGGATTGTGTCAGATCTCGTAGTGCACAGGCGTTTACCCGCCTCTGAGGCGCCTTCGGGGATCAGAAGGATCTCGTGCATCCGATGGTGTACAAGCTTTCGCCTGACGAGACGCTTGGCCAATCTTGCAGGGCTAATGAGCAGAGGACTTCTTTGGTGCTCCGAGACCAGGGTTACGCCATGGTGCCGAGGCTGTAGGTTGGCGGATTGAGCCGCGGAATCTCTGAACCGCTTTCAATCGCAATACAGCCCGACACGGACCAAAAGAGCCCCGTAAAGATCCCTCTACTGGCTTGGTATCATTGCGGAATCCAGGATTCTAAACCAGATCTCCGAAGAGGACTTGGACAAGCAGGCACCCATTGAGATGAAGGAGCCCGGTCGACCTCTTTCGGGCGAGGGGGGTTCCAATCAGAGCCAGAGTTGCGTCTTCAAGATTCGTGACGCAGCATGGGGATCGAGACAAGACTTTTCAGAGGATCTTCGGTGACTGTATGCCATTTTGGAGCTACGGAATGCTGCAGGCACTCACCGCCTTGTGAAGTTTTGGGGAGCCCACTTCTGATCGTAGAGCCACAGAGCACCATGGAGGGGAGGATGATCCAATGAACCCCCACTAAACTCGAGTTCAGTTTGCTGGAACATTTCGAGAAGTTGCGCGTGTTTCTTGACATTCTTGACGTTGGCGGGGGGAGACTCCATTCCTCCGGTCCGTACCATTAATCTGTGCTCCGGCTAGACATATCTCGACTTACGTTAGGACGTGCTCCACTCCCGGCCATGATGGACTCTTTACAAAGCCTGTTTATCACATATTGCTTGGTGTTGGAATCTTGGGCAAGACACGCTCAAGCACCGACCTTGTGCAGGAATCCACTCGAAGTCTCAATCTGCACAGGTCAACCTCATCCCGTACATGAACCGGGCAGCATATACGGTGCCACACAAGGCGCGGCTAGCGCTTTGCACAGTCACCGGCCTTGGAGTCAGTGCAGCAAGCCCTGTGACTTACGGACATGCTTTGCCCTGATGGCCTCGGAAGACTTCAGGAGCTCGTATACTGGGTATTATCGGATACGACTTTTCACCGTGCCTCAACTTGTTAAACACTGTATTCGAACCCTTCTCGCAGTCCTCTACTGTCTCGTGGTCTCTGAAGTACAACTTCAGTTGGACAGGAATGGTACTAAGTTCCTTACTGAACGTTCGCCAGTAGGATGTGGTTCTTCCAATTGTGGCTGCCCTTCTCCCCTTGGAAATCAAGTCTTCCTTTGCCGATGCTTACCTGTGTTGCAGAAGCCGAAAGGCTGTCAAGTCTGCAGCCAGGCATCTGTGCTGAGATGCTTCGCGATCTTCCGCTCGATCGGGCGACTTGGCCCCGCAGGTCACACACAGACCCTCCAGGCTTGTCAAAATTGCAGGAATCCCACGGCTCTCTGAAGTGAAGATCACATCCTTCGGGGTCTGCGGACAGGACATTCTGCACGCGTCGCGCTTGTGTGATTCTGTAATCAAGGCTTCGTCATCTGCCCGTCCTCGACGAGCAGAGCCGGATCCGAGGCATGATCACGCGCAAGGACCCGCTCTCGTGCAGGTTTTGGGATGTGGGATGTGGGACGGCAGGCTCAAGGCCCAGCACTCCCGGTTTTCAAATGCATGGTGTTTGTGTCATATAGACCAGGATCTTCTGCTCGAGCACCTTCACGAGAAGAAGTGGCTTGGCCGGATGCTAGGGTCGCGTAGCAATGTGTCTTGGAAGGCCTACCTGAACGTAAAGTAGAAAATCTGGCAAAGCAAAAGGACAAAGGAAGAAAGGCCGATAGCGTCGCAAAAGCGTCTCCAGATGCCTTACATACTCTGATGCGAAGCACTGATTGGTTTGAGGGTCCTAAAATCCGAGCCCAACACGGATCAGAAAGTTCCTCATGCTCGGTGTCCCAGAAGTAACCCGACACTTGTCTGCTCCGTATGATTCTTCCAGTTAGAATCATGATGACTATTCCGATCATTGCACGCATTATCATGGTCAGCATCCTTGCTTTTGTCAGTACTGGCAATGTTAGTTTCGTTATTGGTACTAATCGTATTGTGACTACGTACTGTGATGATGATGATGCTGACCGTGATGATGATGAGGAGGAGCAGCAGCAGCGGCGGCGGCAGCAGCGGCGGCAGCAGCAGTAGTAGTAGTAGTAGTGGTAGTCGTAGCCGTCGTGGTAGCAGTAGCAGCAGCAGCTAGCAGTAGTAGTAGTAGTAGTAGTAGTAGTAGTAGTAGCAGTAGTAGTAGTAGTAGTAGTAGTAGCAGTAGTAGTAGTATTAGTAGTAGTAGGAGTAGCAGTAGCAGTAGCAGTAGCAGTAGCAGTAGCAATAGCAGTAGCAGTAGCAGGAGTAGTAGTAGTAGTAGTAGTAGTAGTAGTAGTAGTAGTAGTAGTAGTGTATGCAGCAAGACCTGGAAGACAGGCAATGCGTCCTTGCTTCAGGTGGGATATCTACGGCAGTGATGTGGACGATGACTCTGAAGACGAGGAGAGCGCTTGATTTGTAGCAACAGCCACCTTGGCATTGCAAGTCCCCAAGCCGTTTAGCTTGAAACTATCAGCATGCAGTCATCCACCACTAGTTTATTTCACAGTTCGGCGGGCACAAGGCCCTTCATATCTTTTGCATTCTTCACCTCGCATCGAGGATTGTCTCTTGTAAAGTAGCCGGAACGGCACGGCCGTACAGCCACAGACGCCCAAAGCAAGTGCTCGTAAGTGCTCCTCAGTCATTCTACATACCGACACCACCAAAAGCACTCGGCGACATGCTGTGGCCCGATCTCCTGCACCGCTATTTGGAGGTGAGTGGGGCCCATAGATTACAGTGCACAGTCTGCCCCTGTCAGTGTGAGATCCCTTTCAATATGTGTTCCCTTTCGGGCTGGGCTGGGGTCGGTAGTCCGACTCTCAAGGCTGAGAGCATAACAACAAGAAGACTCAAGAAGACTTATGTAGTAGGTTCAGAGACTTTGCAGTTGGTCTTGGGGCTGCGGATACTCGCTGATGGGACCTTCGTGCATGTTCGTCTCGCATCGCAAGCTTATTGAAACGGATTGCTAGATTTGCTAAACACATCTTTCGGCCTCGGATCACTCACACTGGCAGAGGCATGCTTCCATGGATGGTTCACAGAGACTCGTTTGCTGCATTGTAGCTTTGCCCACCCAAAGCCTTCGCAGCAGAAAAAGAGCCAGTGCGGTCGATCCGTGTGTGTCCTGGTTGGCGAAGCTCATGTCTCGCTTCGCAAGAGGCTTCATTGTCTGTAAGCTTACTTGCTATCACCTCAGCTTTGTCGCGTGTGTTCTCGATGCTGATGTTTGCGGTGCTGTCGCCCTCTTGGTGCACGCGCATTGTCTCAATGTAAAGACTTCTGGTATTTGTTGCCGTCGCTGCTGCAGGTGCGGCTTGCCGGTGATGGTGGTGACTCAAGTGCTGACGCTACTGCTGCTGGTACTGTCCTCGACGTTAGTGTGCTGTCTGTTGCTGCTGCCGCAGTTTTTGTTGTTGTCGGTCTGTTTCGTTGTCCTTGTTCCAAACGTCGCGCTACTGATTATGGTGTGGCTCCTGTTTTCGCTGCAGCCGTTCTTGTGTCTGTTGCTTGCAGTGGTCGCATCGGTTTGCCTGCTTGTGACTTGCGTCGTGTTGGTCATGCCAGTTTCTCGAACGCATCTAGCTGGCTGCATCCAGCCACGGTGCTTGGAAGGGCTAGGCGTGTCAGCTTAGTTTGATCGATAGTACCTTGAGGAAATCTTTCGGACTTTTGGATCTGTGCTTAGGTTTGGTCAACGGACTTCGTAAAGTTTTCGTTGCTGGATCATTCGGTCTTCTACGATCCAATGTGACTGCGGAGTGTCGGTGTGACACGTTTTGGCGCTTGGAATGAGTAAGCCAACCTCAGTGGGGCAAGCGGAAGAGGGCAGGCAAGTTTCCGAGGTTGGGGTGGCAGGAACAGAATCATAGCCGTGAAAGTTCCAAAAAACCTGCATCACTGTGGATATCTGCGCCACATTGCCTTTGTATCCATGGTCGTCCAAACCCATTTCAGAATCACAAACTTTGTCATGACAGACCTCATGATTTGCCCGCATTGTGATGCGAGTTCAGTCCCCGAAGGGACTGCGGGCAGAGGTTAACTAAGGTCTACGGCTTGAAAGTTTAGGGTTGAGATTTTAAATTTTAGCAGAGGCAGTGACGTTACATGTGGAGGCTTATGTAGTCAAATGTTTGCAGAAAGCACGGGGCACAGGGCTGAGGGGTCTAAAGAGGTTTGTTGTTGCTGCGTAGAGCTCAGGGTCTTTTCCCCTGACAGAAGCTCCATTGGTGGAACAAGAGTCGGCGGAACCTGCTGGCAAAACGCCGGCGGACAACGATGAACGCAAACGCCAAAAGGGTGTAGGGTTCAGGGTTCATGGGGTGCAAAGATTGTTATATAGGGGTCTTGTGTTTGATTACGAGAATGTTCATGTTGATTGATTTATCATAAAGCGGTTTTCGATTAACTCAGGGAATGATTGAATCTTAATATGTTGGTTCTTTACGACGTTTTTTGTTCATGGTGTTGTGGTTGTTTATAGTTCTTTATGGTCTTTCTACGGGTTTTTATGGTCATTTTACGGTTGCTGGGTGCACTTACGAAACTTTATGGTTATTCTACGGACGTGGCTGTTGAATTGATGGTTGTTTTACGGCTGCGGGTCAGGATTATCGAGTTCAGCACGATCGGGTTTGGGTTCAAGGTAGGGAAGCAGGAATTTGGGGGGTATTTGGGGTTGACCGATATAACTTGGGGCTCAGATATTTCATAGGATAGATGGCTCTATATGGTATCCCACACAAAGACCCGGATTTCAGGATTACGCACATTTACGCCCGGGTTGTTAAGAACAAATACGCCCACTTACGGTCCGACCAGAAATTTACCATGGTTTCGGTGCTCCGGGTAAGGGTATTTAGAGCCTCGAATCCTTCCCCCCTAATTCAGAATAGGTTTTAAAGGGCAGGGATGATTTCGGGAGGATTGGGCTCAATGCGTTTTATTATTAGGGGGTGTTTAATAGCAGGGGGAAGCGATTATGGAGTTCAGAGATTGTTATTGATTACGAGAAGGTTTGTTTGCAAACACGATTTGGATATACTAAATGACTTCTGGAAGCGATTGCCGCCGGCCACGCAGCCGCCTGCGAAACCCGCTGCCCGAAAAGCGGGCGGCGCAGCAGACAGGCTTGAAGGGTTTAGGGCCGTGGGTAGGAGCAGATGGAGTTACCATATATGTAAACATATATATATATATATATATATGTATGTGCATGTACGCAACAATCGGTTGTCAGTCGGTACGATTCAGTTCTAGCAGCATCCTGGCGATCATAGACAGTGACTTTTTTGGGGTTAAATGGAGGACGCCGTAGCCTTTAGCCATGGAGCGTTCGTCCTTGTTCTCGATCTCCATCAGTTGCCCTGCGCTGAATCTCAAAGGTGCATCAGCAAGAACCGAGAGGGAACGACGTACAAGTCTGCACACGCACGTATGCTCATACGTATTGTACTTTTGCATTCTGTGATGTAAGTTTGTCACGAGGTTAAGCAGCTATTCGTTGGCTTGGTTGCTTCATGCAGCTGCATGTATGTATATGGCAATATCAATATGATTATGATTATGAATCTGAGTATTCATCGTAATATAAACATGCGCATGTTTTGAGTTTGAGTATGAATGTGACTATGAGTATGGGTATGGGTATACGGGAGTAGGAGTAAGAATGCAAATGTGAATATGAGCATGATCATGAGCACGAGTACGAGCATCAGCATGCGTCTGAATGTGACGGTGAATGTGATTTTGAGTATACGTGCGCGTATGGGTTCAAGGATGAGTACGTATGAGCACGAGTATGAGTACGAGTATGTGTTCGTACGTACATACATACAGATATATACATAAAATAAATGTATATACGTTTACATAGAGTACAATATGAACATATATACACACACATACATATCTTATACATATAGACATTTGATGACGTGCATAAATAACTGTGTGTAGTGTATGGAAATTGAAAACCTCGGGCTTCCGACCTCACCGTCCGAACACCACCCGGCACCACACGAAAGGCAGCAGTGCATTATTTGGACGCCTCTCCTCCGTATCGAGATACATAGCGACATAGATACATCAACTTGCGCACGCGATTGTTGGCTCTGTCACTTTCTGCCTCCACGAGGTACCTGGGTTCTTCAACTTGCAGGGCAGGCGGGGCTGGGTGGCTCGGATGCTCCTTGGGCTATTTCTGAGCCCGCGAGGATTGTATCGTCGGGTAAGGGTAAAATAGGTGAGGGAGCAGAGGATGTTTGAGAAAGATGCAGAGCTCCTGTTGCATGCCCATTTTTGCATCCCTGACAGTATCCTGGGCTGATGCCGAAGCCGCAGGCTGCAGACCTCGTCAAGCAATGCCTTTCGCAGTTTCTGGACGTCCTGCGCGGCAGTGGCATGGTCACAGTCGAGAAGCAGGCACGTCTTGGCAAGTTCCTAGAAAAACAGGCCTTCCCCTTCGATTCTGCTCATGTTTGTGCTGTCTCCATCAAGTGAAAGCAGCACGCTACTTGTATTCTTCTTCCTACAGACGCCTCGCAGGCTTGTGGATCCCCTTACTTTCAGCTCTGTCGAAATGCTACTGAAAGGACACCAGGCGATCGTTACGCAGATCAGTAGCCGTAGGCAAAGAGAATGCCAAAAAAAAAAACCGTTATGCAGGCAGCGCCCGGCACCGCTGTTTTACCATCCGATTCCATCCTCGCCAGCTTTTCCTACCATCCATCACGTACACACAGCAAGAAGCCAGGGAGACCTCTCGGTTGGGCAGGTGCTGAACATTGCACCTTGGTGTGCCATTGGAGTTCCAGACTTTTCAGGGTTGTGGGCGTTCATGTTGAGTGGGCCAAATCCAGGAAGACGCAGCGCGAATAGGTCTGGGATATTACGTGGAAAGGCGCACGCCCCCTGATGCGCCCCCTTGCGACAGTTTCTGCAGCCGAGATTTCGCGGTTTGGGCCGCAGGGTTTGACTGGGGTTGGGGCGCTGCAGGTCTCAGGCGTCTATGAGATCTACGAAGCTTCTGATCAATGCAATCTTTTTCTGCAGTTGCGAAGCATCGAAGTATCTCTTAATTGGAGGGTCTTTCTGGCGAGTGGTCAGGAAGGCCATAGTGTCCCTGCCAGGACAAACTCCTTTACAAGCGGCTTCAGGAATGGGAGGCACATGCAAAAAATGGCTGACAGGCTTCGGTGTTCTTGGGTTTTGTCTTTCAGTGGTCCACGGGTGTCAGGGTTGATTGAAGTTGCTTTCTTCTCGGAGACTCGTGGGGCGTGTTCGGCCCTGCGGCCCGCCTGGACGACGAGAATCCTTGGGTGAAACAGATTCGTTGTTATCGTTGCAGTATAATCCTTGCTATTCTAAGTTAGTTTCATCGTCCTTACGATTATCATTGCTGGTCACCACTATCATTGCTCATATCACAGGTGTTGGGGACTTCGAGGCCCGGCACGTCTGAAAACTCGGCATGGTCTCCGCGGTGGCTGCAGGAGAAGCTGAAGGCTTGTGACAAGATCAAGAGCGAGAAGGACGCTGGAACTGCTGCATGTTTCCCGACGCCATAGCCATTAGTTTGGGTCTCTGAGGGCTGAGCCGCCTTTGGTCAACGTTCTCAAGATCTCGCCTTGCAGCCAAAAGGCCCAACACGACGGGCAACCCGACAAACCTCCCCTGCTTTAGAAGAAGGGAGCTTTGGGCTTCGGGCCGAGCTCAGCATCTTGAGCGATATCCCAGCATGAAGTCTTGTGTTTATTGATGAGGCTTTGCCCTGGATGTTTGTCGTAGCCTGGAAAGGAGACTTGGCAGCGGCGCGTGAACGACATGCGCTGGGGACTCGGCGCAGTAAGCCCAGTGGCATGGGGTTTTGTCTCCTGGCAGTCCTCACATAAATCACCGCACAAGATACGGCAAGCAATTAGACTCTATTCTGATTCGTCAGGCCCGCTGGCCGCTCAATATAGTCGTGTAAGCCTTGCACATGACGCACGTGGAAGCAAGCGATACCGCGTCAATGTGTGAACACGCGCAGTCTGAGACGATTGCCACCCTGCGCCTCCTTACAAGACTTGTGGTTTGAGGCATCGAGTACATCCGCGAGGCAGCTGGGATCTTCCAAGAGCCCCGAACGTCCAAACGATGGGGCTTAGGAGCTTGTGGTTCGGATTTATGACAGTTTGGGGTCCGTTCCGGGATCAGGGTAGGTGGTATCTCGTGCCACAGCGGGGCCTTTGATTCAACAGTTTCGGTCTCCCGGCGTTGAGGTTTAGGGCAAGAAAAGGCAGAAGTTCACCTCATGATTCGTCTGGAGGAGGCAGCGAAGATGCGGACATTTTGAGCCTTCCTCGAAGATCCAGCTTTTCGAAGCACCAGTTCACCTCGAGAGAAAGCCGTGAACGATCAACAACTTAGCTTTGTAGCGGTTTTCAAGGCTCTATGGGGCCGCTGTGCTAGGTTCTATTCGGGATTATCGGGGTGTTACCAGGGAGAGAGGAGGTGTTACCAGGGAGAGTAACTGAAATACATTTACCAGGCTTCCACTTGGGGAACTTAGTGTCGTCAATATTATGGGCATATATACAGGAGAGAGCATCTTACATAAAGATCCTTAACAACAGCCCCGAAAGAGAGCTCAGTATTTATGCACATTACCGCTTTCCCGCTTCAGATAGCGAGCATGCTTTCCAAGCGGGCGTTCTACACTCCCCTCGTTCCGTAGATTCGCCATAGATCCCTTGCGGCTCAGATCGAGATGTTCCGCCTCAAGCTCCGACGCCTGCAAAAGAACGAGTCGGTGTCAGATTTGCGCGACAGCGCCGAAGCTGCAAGTTTGCGCAGTGCATTTGCCGAGCTGCTAGTGTTCCAATCTGCTCGCTCCTCCTTTGCGTCACCGAAAACCTCGCGATCCCTTAATACCTTAGACCCTACTTGGGAACTCCGAGGCTCAATGAAGAAGTCGAGGAACGCCGCAGCTCAGACGGACGCCCGGGATGGGACTTAGAGGCTCCAAGGGACTTTTAAAGTAGGTTAGCAGGTGGTAGCAAGTAAATACGGCTAACCCGGTTAATCTTAAATTAGGGTGCTCCCGAAATTTGGGTTTGACCGAGTCACTAGGTCCCATGACTCCAAATGCTGACCGAAAATGATATTCGAGGTGGTTAATAGTAGGAGGAGCGGGTTACACAAGTATAACCCCACATCGAACCCTGTTTTCTGTATATATGTTTATGTTTATATTTGATTATATGTATAGAGCCCGCCAAGTAAACCCCTTGAGGCTCAAAGCAGAGTAGGAGAAGCAGCAAAAGTGAGTTTTGACACGATCCATTGAGGAGTATACTCCCGCAGGGGTGGAACTCCTATCAAGCCTTTCAAAACCCCCATAAGCCTCCACAGACTCAGACCCCTTTTCAAATAGATTACTATTGCAATTCTGATTCTTATTAGTCTTATTACCATTGTGGCTATTTTCATTAATTGTTCTTGTGCATATATATATATATACAGAGAGAGAGAGAGCTATTGTTATTGGAAGTACTGTTGCACTATTGCTACCACTAGGCGGTTGTTCTTGTGCATATATATACACAGAGAGAGAGAGAGAGCTATTGTTATTGGAAGTACTGTTGCACTATTGCTACCACTGTTGGCGGATTGGCGTTTCAATTTTCTTGATGGTAACATTTCAGCTGTTATAAGTGCTGTGATTGTTAGTCTTTATGAGTATCGTTATTACTATTGCTACTGTATTAGTTCAGTGTCTTGATGTTGATTGTAACTGCCGTTCTTATTTTCCCAACAGCTGATGATTGCCATTCATATTATTATTATTGTTTTTTATGACGTGTGTGGTTGTTGCTAATAGTCTTGTTATGATAGGTTTCGTTGTTGCCGCTGTTATCGGGGCCATTGTGATGATGGTTGTTAGTTGTATGTTGTATTTTTTTGTTATTCTTATTGCTGTCATTTTCACAGTTGTTACTGTTGAGGCCCATTCTGTGTTTTTAGTCTTTTGTGTCACTATTGTTGTTGTTCTTCTCTATAGGAGTACGAGTATGAGTTTGAGTATGAGCATGAGCCTGAGTATGAGTGCGAGTATTAGTATTGGTATCAACACTAGCATGAGTACTTGTGCCAGTATTCGTATACGTATTAGTATGAATCTGAGTACCAGTGTCAATGCCAGTACTAGTACCAGTACTAGTACGAGTGCCGTCATCAGTATTAGTGCTAGTATTAGTTCCAGTATGAGAACGATTATGAGCAAAAGTGCTCGGACTAGTATTAGTATCAGTATAAGCAGTACTAATATTAGCTGTCGTATGGGAATTGGTATGGTATATAGACCTCAGAGCCAGGAGCTCGAGGCGGGTTTGGGAGAGCTCTGCTCAGTGTGGGACAAGGTCTTTGAGATCCAAGCACGTGCGGGGCCTCGGCTTGGGTTGAGGCGAGGGCTCAGAGTTTAGCGGTTAAGGTTCAGTTTGGCGTATAGGAGTTAGTATAGGTTGTTACAAGGGGTTATTGGGGTTGATCCGGATCTTGCCTGATATGCGAACCCCTAATTTGTCGATTAACCACCGAATGCGTCTTCAATACGACATGACTTGTAAACCCGAATCTTGACGCTTGGCTGTTGAAGTCACCTGAGGCATGGATGCCATCAACCAGCGCAATGCAGACTTTGATAAGGCCTTGTGATTTGGGGTGTAGGGTTAGCGCTTGAGGTTGCGGTTTGCGGCTCTTGGCTTGGCTTGGTGCTTATAGAATGTAAGGTTTCCGTACAAATCTCCGGCAAGAAAACATCGAAGCCTTGCTCACAGGTGGACGCACACCTTAAAGTCCTGCAGGAGCAGGCGGGACGGGCTGGCAGTCTCTTCTGGAAATTTCCCGAGAGAGGTATTTTTGGATTGTTGCAACTTCAGCTCTAGGGGAGTGTTAGGCTGCTGCAGTCACTGTAACCTGGCGGGCCCAAATTACAGCTAAGCAAACAGCACACGGAGCCAAACCAGAAAGCCAAGAACCTTGCCCCAAGTAGATTCTGCAGAAGAACCTGTTTCCCGAAGCTCCCTTCCGGTTGCAGGTCCTCGCCCAGGAAGCCCACATCGTGGCTCTAGAGAAGGCATGAGCTGTGGCTCGTAGAGATTCACGGGCTCAGCCTAAGGAGGTTTCTATGTTAAAGTTTCAGGGTTTCCGTAGTTAGGGTTCTGTCAGCCAGTGACTTGCATGGACTCGACTCGCACAATCGAAGTGGAGCAATGACAGCAATTCTGAATTGCTTTCCTGACTCCAGTGTTGGGTGTGTGTGTGTGTGCATGCGAAGTCGAACAGGTGAAACACAAAACAGGGTGAGGGTTCTCTTCGAGGCAGTGCAGCCGTGCAACTGTTGTGAACTGCTCGACCTTGTCTCCAGCAGATGGTCCAGCAATTTCACATGGAGCAGTGCGACAGTAGCGGAAGCGAGTCTTGGGGTCTGGCTTCATGGCTCCATGCCGTGAAGCAGGGAGTTGACAAGGCTCTGCAGTTCCAGCCGCCGAGCATGATGTTCGACACAGGGCTGCCTGGAGGTGACCTGGTCACAGATTGCTACCTTCGCTGCATATGGTGGTATCATCAAAGGCGCTCTTGTTCAACACCACGTTAAAGCTCCATCACCTTCGAGTTCAGGGCCGAGGGGCAGCCTCAAGGTGTCGCTTTAGCACGTTCTCGAATGTCAGTTCGCCGTTCGCCACATCGCAGTTGATGCAGGCCACGTTGCGCCGTTCTCAAATGCGAGTCGACAAAATCAGTGCTGGTCCGGTTGAGGCTTTGCTTCAGCACCTCAATACCCAGACTTGATGGGTGCGTCACCTGATTCGACCACAGCTGACAGAGGTCACCTCGAAGTCGCGAGCCTGCTGATTGAGAAGGGCGCCATAAAGAATAAACGAAATTGATGGCACGATGCTTGTCTGCCTCGCCGCTTTTCGCAGCTCACAGATGTCACCTTGATGTGGTAGGGATGCTGATCGAGAAGGATGCCGACAAGGATGGGGCAAGGAACGACGATGCCGCCCGCCTGTCTTCACACGTCGGAACTTCGATGACAGAATCATGAGAACATCTCCTGCAATAGATGAAGCGAAGCTCGTAAATATATCCTCAACCATGCGGCAAACGCAGTCCTAGACCGTGGAGCCGGAAGCCCCACACCCAAGACCCGGAAACCGTACACCCTGAATCTCTTTAACCGTAGTAGTAGTTAGTAGGTCCTAAGACTAAGCATTATGACTGGCTCGCTCGAGCAGGCGCTCGTGGAGGTCTCGGGCGCAGCTCTCACGCGCCAAACGGCCCTGGAGCTGGCAATGCGAGAGGCGAACTCCCCCGCTTGGGGAAGTTTCGAACAAGGGAGCCCGTCATGTACACAGACCTTAGCACACGCATTTTGAAGAGGTGCCCCTTGCGAGACCCTAAGGTTTTGTTTCAGCACTCCTTCCAGTGCTGGTCTACGCCTGAATAGTTGTGATAATTCTGCCAAAATAACCCCCCAAACCTATTTTCATTCTTAGGCCCCCAGAACTAAGCCTTTGCCCGGGACCTGACAGAAAGATTTGCTTAAGGATTCGATACCCGCAAGAACTGGTACAGTGCATGGGGTGAATGAAAAAACTTCATAAAGGCAACACTCCGGAACCCATAACCTCATGAGCTCTGCAAGCCCTAGTGGAGGTCCAAGCCTTGGCGTACCTGTCCAGAGAAGGCAGGGCGACTTGGCAGCAGGGAATAACAGGTTTAGGGATGCGTAATTTTGGTGGCTTGGGGCAAAAAAGGGGTTGCTAAACCTGATAAGCCCAAAACCCTTGCTTGTCAGACCGCCGCACTTTCCATCGAGCTTTGACGGGTACTGCCGCCTTGAGATCCGACGCGCCCAGCCAGGAAGCCCAAGGACCACCTTCTACTCGTATGAGTGTTTTCGAATATAAGGGGTACCTCCTTGGGGGTCCCCAAAAATAGGGATCCTACTATTTAGGGTACTATATTGGGGTCCCCTATTTTCGGAAACCCCCAAATGCGTTGCAGTTTAACCAAGCTCCCCTGCAACCCTCAAAGTCGAAGGCTTGCGGCCTTGTTCGTCCCCTTCACTTCATCTTACCAGAACCACCCCCGGAAGAGTGAAGAACAGATCTTCCGAGTCATTTGGGAACGAACCCCAAGGACCTGAGCTTGATTGGCCGCGATGAGCTCTGCCCGCGGCCCAAGCCGGCGGAGTTCCTTCGGCTTTGAAATTTGGCGCTGGCACTTGTCAAGGTTTGCTGCACCCTTTCTCCCTCCTGCCTCTAGCCCCACCAGTTCCTGCCACGCTGTCTCTGTACGTAGCTATTGAAGGATACCACACCATACCTGAGCCACCAAGGATCCTCGCGGACCTCGAAGCGGTGCCTCGGGGGCATGTGGAGCGGTGCCCGCGCAGGTGTAGAGTGTGTGTGTGTGTGT